AATCGAAAAACTACTCCGTTCAAAGTGTCACATGATCACGTGTTCGAAACGTGATCGGCTACATCTAAGGTCAAAAAATGTCACGCGCGAAAAGTAACACAAAACTCCGTGACACTGCTCTGTGTTTTCAAAATGTACTTGGCTCTTACAGCAACCTGCCGTGAGCACAGAGCTTTCCTCGTAGAGAGCGCGACAAGGGAAGAACAACAAAGAGTAAACAGAGGACAGAGAGAACTTGAAGCGGATAGAAGGAGCAATGCAGAAGAAGAAAGACCAGGACGGTTCGCGTGTCGACGTCTCCCAGTGCAACATGATGAACGACGGTGTCTCGGAGTAAGTATAAGATTTATCAATTCTTTTTATGATTGACCTTAAATAAAGGCCGGCTCTCGTCAGTTTCTTCGGGGGACTGTATATTTAATGAGGGATCGTGGATTTAGGAGGTGCATGCAGTTTAACATAAAAAGAGGGGTGTCTTGACTGCAAGTAGTGTTTGTGTTGATAAGTCTTTCCTGTTTTCTCCTTTAGAAAGATTGTAAGAAAAGAGTTGTGGTATTTTACCATTGACAACATAAACCTAACTGCACCAACGTTGTCAAAAAAGAAAAAGGTAACATAGGTCTGGAATAAATTAGACATGTACATTTGACACCATTATTACAATCTTTCTAAAGGAGAAAACAGGAAATACTTATCGATACAAACACTACTTGCAGTCAAGACATGCTCATGTTAAAACATCAGCTGAGCTGAGAAAAGGTAACCTGGCCTCTGTAAAGATGTTTTTTGCTTTATTCTTTCGTCCTCAGTGTAGTGAGCGTGCCTAATTTATTCTTATCATTTGCTTTTAAGAACAACGTAGGATGAAACCTTTAAATCTGACAACTTTTGCGATTCAAGCAATATCAAGTTAATAAAACTCTTGGTTTAGAGTCAGAGTGAGCTTCCGGCTAAGATTTACTGAAACTCGAACGGGTATTTTCTTCACAAGTCAACCTTTTTTTCGGAAAATGTGTGTTTCATTTTGTTTAACTTTTTTAAAATAGTTTACTTCATGTCTTCATTTTATTCCTAACTTTTTCCTAAGTGCTTCAAATCTTTATTCCAGGTGCCAGCATGCTCAGATGCCAGGGCAGGATTTCGGTCGGACTTTATGTGACATATTAAACAAACAGCTGTTCTACTCGAACATCTGCTATTAGCCTGTTCCAGGCGTTCAGATAATGGGGAGCGGTGCGAAGTAAAAAGGAGCGCGAAAAAATAAAAGCGTGGGAGGAGGAGAGGTGAGGGAGGGAACGCCTGTTAGATTTGTTTTAAATAGACTCTTCCGCCCAGTCAGACCGCATCAGCTGTAGGTGGTCTTCACTTGTCAATCAAGACTGGTGTTACAGCCCGATGCATTTATTACTTTTCTTGCGAATAAATCGAAGTTTGTCAGATCAAAAATTAATATTATATGTACACATAATCTTACAAAAAACCCAATGTAAGACTTTCAGACAATAGAAGGCGGGAGAAGTATTCATGTATAATGAATTTATTTACGGCTTTAAAACATGATTTCAGCGTGTACGTGACAAAAAATTATGAATCAAGTGACAAACAAATATCGCTCATTTCGATAGAAAGCCGTTTCAATACAGATCGTTAACTCAAGCAATGAAAATGCACAACAATTGAAGGGAAAATAACTATTCGGTGATTGAGTGGACCTCGTCAATAGCGATAGCTGCAACTTGGTTTCCAAGCTTTCCTTCTTGAAGTCCTTTTGTCCATTCATTAGACAACCACACGATTTGGCACTTCAGTAAACAATTTCACAGCTTCCACTTTTAACGGCGTCATCCACATCTTTTCCCATCATTGCCGCCGCTACTCCGATTTTGTTTAAATATTCCACTTGGTCTTCCCTGATGGTAATCAACGGAGTTACCACAACAATCGTAAATGGCATTCTATCCTGCCTTCATAATTCCAACGCACGCGCTATTCGAGGAAAAAACTGGAAAATAAGAATTTTTCCAAAGCCAGTCGGTGAGAAATTGCTAAGATAGCTATCCTACCGACTACGTGTTTTAAACAGTTTCTTTGCTCTTCGCCTCCACGTTTGGAAAGTCACTCAGTGCTGTGTTTGTTGCGAGTTTGAATTCTGCGTGACGGCACGTAGAGTCTGTCATAACGGCCATATCGCATTTCTCGCTGTGATCGAAGACGCTCCACTGTTGACAAAAACTGTCAAAATCAACCAATCAGAGGGTATACCAGGATCTGGTATACCGGAACGCACTTTTGTTAACAATTCTTACAAGCGTTCCCGCACCTCTCTCCCCAGTCCCCCTCTACTTTTCATCGCTTTCTTTACTCTGCACCGCTCTCCACTATCTGAACGCTTGGAACAGGCTAATCTGCTATGTACATAATCTTCTCGGAGTGCTTATATGATGATGTCATGGTCGCAATGTTGCCATATCAAATTGAATTATCAATACAGAAGTGTTTCTGTGAGAAATTCAGAACGGTGAAATTTGATTTTCCATTTTTGTAGATAAATTTCCCTACGGTCTATTTTAGTATTTTATTTTTGCTAAAACAACGACCTTTGAACTAGTATAGCAAGAGTATTTCTCTATAATAATCATTTTAATTTTTAAAAAGTTCTTCAATCCGTTAGTCATGTTTACATTGCAGAGCAACTTAGACCCGGCCTAGCCTGCGAACAGCAGACGCATTTCCGGTCGTCGCTTCTCTCCCCCCGCTATTTTTTGGAGGGAGAAAAGGGACGACCGGAAATGCGTCTGCTGTTCGCAGAATAGACCCGGCCTCGCATGCCTTGTTTAAATAAAAAAATCTCACAATTACATGCATTAGTTTATTCTTACCATCGATCCAATATTCCTTTCTCGGCGGTAACGAAAAGCTTTTTGTTATATCAAAAATCCATTCAAACGTGACCCCATTTCGTGTCGTTTTTCTCATCCCCACATTTTTACTTAATGAACTCTGTTAAATTACAAACTTAAGTAGCACTTACAAGTCCCGGGGGGGTACTTAAGGAATTTCTGGGTAGGGATGTGCCGCTGGGACCCTGGAACCTTTAACCTACACCAGAGCTAGTTCAGCTGAATTTTGCTACCATATACTAGAGTAAACTCCCCAAGTCCCCCCTATCCTAGAGTAGCTGTTTTCCAGAAACTACTGAGGTCACTAGCACAGTCTAGCCATGACAAAACCTTATAACACAATCCTTAGTCTAGACAAAATCTTCAACCAACTGATCAGTTTCCTGAAAAATGATACCCTATTCTAGACCCAAACGCTCTGATTTATATACCCTATCCTAGAGTAAACTGCTTAAAAACCATACCCTTCACAGCGGCACATACCTATATAGCCCACATATGGCAGTACCCCCCGCCCCCGGGAAACAAGTTCAATTGATAAAATAAATTATGCTAACTCATCTAGGTGAACATACACGACTCGACTACCATAACTCATTGCAGCTATGACTTCACAAGTTCTGTGTCCACTTAAACGTCTAAATCGTTATTAAATTCCGTGTTGCCTATACTGTCTATACTTCATTGTTGGGATATTACATGTCTCTGTCAACTTCAGAATGTTTTTTCATTTCTTAGTGTTCCTCCGTTAACTATAGTATTTTTGGCAAAAAATAGCATATATTATTTTAAAATTTCTACATATATATAACACTACCTATGAGGAAACATAATCTCCATGTCATTAGAGATCATACGACTGTAACATGGGCTGGTGAGTTGGATCTGTTTACAGCCTGTTAAAACAGGATATCACAAAGGCGGGATGATTTTATATTCGTCAAATCCTACTACTGGTCTATTATCAATGCTGCGTTCTCATTGGTTGAGCTACCACTAGGCCATATGTTAAAGCCTACTAGTAGAGAAAAGCGCTGGCTTTGAAAACCAAAACAATGGCGACTGAATCGCGTTTTGCTAGTTAAAGTTGTTTTGTCTCGATGTTTTTGACAAACTAGTTGGATTTTACTAAAACAATTATTCCTCTCGCCCTCAGGGCCTCTGAGTCAACAGCCCATGAGGCCGTCGGCCTCATGGGCTATTGACTCGGAGCCCATTCGGGCTCGAGGAATAATTGTTAAATAAATAATAGCATGGTCTTAGTTCCCATTGCATGCCTCTGGCATCCAAGTTTCACTGTGTTTTTTAGTTCATCGAGTCTCTTCATTTATAACTAAGACAAGTCCAGTTTGAATATCAAATAATTTAAACTTTTTCCTTTTCCTTTTCATCGGTAGCAATTCCATAAAGACATGATTTGAACTAACAGGGGGAAACTGGAGCACCCCGGAGAAAAACTCCCTCTAATAATTATGCCTTCTATATATAGTCTAACAGATTAAATATATAAATATTCTTTTCTCGGTGAACATACACGACTCGATTACCATAGCTCACTGTAAGCATGACTTTCAAGTTGCTTGTCCACTCATAATGTAAGTCTTCAAATTGTAAAAAAAATTCTCGAAATCGTTTCAAATCCAAAGTTGCCTATACCGTCTCATAGTTCACTATTAATTCGGTTATTACTGAACATGTCATTGTCAACTTCAGCATGTTTCTTCTATTTCTTAATTTTTTTCCTGTTTCCTTTTTCTTTGTTCGCAGTTTTTTTTTCTAAAAAAATACGTAATAAATTTTTAAAAACCCTAATGATGGGATGACACCCATCTAAAAACTATCTGTGTTTGAAAATAACAAGGTGAGACTATAAAACTATAAAATTGACAAAATATGTTATATCTGTACACAATGTCGTAAATGGAAGAATGCAAGCCAGATCGAGATTGATACGTTGCCTACGTCCTCCGTCCTTTCTCTCCCCAGTCTCCTGCTCGCTACGCTGTCTCAAGAGTCTGAAAACCTGACAATTTTTCTAAAACCGCTGTTATCAAGAGAGAATGAGCTGCAATTGTAGCTCATTCTCTCTCTCTCTTGGTGTTATAAATCCGTCGTATCGACTATAACCTTCAGAAACATAGTATCGTCTCGGACGTAGGCATGATCGTTTAACTCCGACAAGGGACAGAATGTAGGGCACCCACTAGCGATGTTTGCTTCTCTTCTTGGTCTCTGGAAAGATGAGCTGTTTGGATCAGGTCTGAAGGAGTCGATCACGTGTTCTACGTTATTCTGATCTAGCAGCATGAACGTAACTTTCTGTCTGAATGGCCAGCGGAGTAACGCATCGTACTCACCACGCATGACAACAAAGAATACCGAGATGTGTGTCCCTCTTCCAATACCATCACCATTCACGTAGATGCGCGCGCACATCTTGTATCCATAGCGACTGGTAAAGAAGCACGGACTGTAAAATGACGTCTGTTGCCCGGAGACGGCGTCTTGCTGTTTTTTAGCGAACTCGGTGATTTTCCAAAGCAAAATTCCATCGTGACTGGAGACTTCCTGCTGCCTTACAGATTCGTCCAAATCTGTCAGCATAACATTACGAAGTGCTAGTGAGTGACTCATGGACTCGAACTGTCTCTGTAGTCGATCGGTTGTTCCACTCGAAGACTCCTGTTGCCTGGCTACGGTAGACACTTTTCTTTGTAGTTCTTCATTTAATCTGTTTCCTTCAACGAGCAAAAGTTCGAGATTGGCCGTCTTTCCTTCTTCTGTAGTTATTCTTTGTAAAAGTTCTTTGGCGAGCGTTGAATCAAATGCTGTTGCTGAATTTGAGCTATTCTGTCTAGAACTTTCCAGTTGCCGTATTCTCTCTTCTTGTTG